GTGGAAAAGAGCTGGAACAGGCGGAAAGAACCAGGGGGACGACGCACATGGGCTTTGCCAATTTGGGACGTGTTCAGGGCTGTGGCATCGGCGGTGCCTTCAATGCACCACTGGGCATGGTACAGATGTGTGTGTATACACATCTGCACCTTCAAACCACCTACACTACTTCAAAATGGTAGGAAACTGGAGCAGACCTCTTACTTTGTGAGCCAACTTAAGCTTAGGGCTCCCTCCCAAAAATTCTCGCATTCCAGATTCTAAGTAAATATAAGTAAACGGAACCCATCTTACTGTGCGCAGTCATAAAAGGCTAGGCGTGCCACGTGTGCAGATACATGGAGTCTGTTTACCTTCTCCTGATTTTGGTAAATTCTGCCATTTTGACCCTCGGGATGTCAGAGAAAACATGACATGCACTCAACAAAATGAAATGCACTCAAGTCAGTTGCTAAATACCATCAGAATCAACCACGAGCTTGATTTCCAAGTTATTTGCAGTTGGCCAGCTAGTCGACGTGATCAGTTGATGGCTGATGACTAATACGGTTCTTGCTTTGACTGTTATGAAAAAGCAAAATGTACCCTAGCCTTCAAAACGTGTCAGGAACGTGATGCAGAAGTGTAATAGGCGTCGAAAACTCAATGACCAACGGAAATAACATGCACGTCGGCAGCGCGTAAGATTACGTCCGACAATTAAGCGTAAAAATTCATCGGCGCATGTCCAATGCCAAGGCTCTGAGGGGAGTCGTCATCCTGCGATCTCGGACTCATGCGTATGCAGTAATTTGGGTAGGCCCGTACACACGAGCGGACGAAAGGCCCTAGCGCTCACAAGCACATGTGGGGCTCTTGGCAACAGAATAAGATCCTTCTGACTTCATCACAAGAGCCCACAACCAATATGGAGAGCCCCGGAGCGGTCAAGAATGCCCCGGCCGAATCGGATTTGGGTCCGGGGTGGTAGTGGTTTAATGGTTAGTGCGCCCGACTCTAGATCTGCCTGTCTGAGGCTCGAGCCACGTCCATGCCACCGACGCATCCCACATGATTCCTTATGAAAACATCCTTCTCGAAATGCCCTTGGCCATCGGTGAGATGCAAAGCCGCTATCATGTTCATTAAGATTTAATCCCCTGCCAACGGTGTATTATATGAAAACCCAAGACCAATAGGGACGGCACGCCAGCAATCGGGGGTGCCGCGGCAGGCCAACAAAGAGGCTTTCGCTAACAGTGCAGAGTCCTCAGGGCAAGCGAGAGGAACCCTGCACCGACGTGGTGGGCCCCTGCACCGACGTGGTGGGCCCCTGAACGATGGGGACTGCCACGGCGGGCTTACATACAGGGTCCAGCCAAAGCGCAGGACGCTCTGACCAAAGCAGAATAACACAAAACCAGTGTACGTGAATTAATGCCCCTGTGCGATCAACAGTGCTGGGCAGGTCAATAGAAGGGCCTCTGACAAAGTTGAAGGCTTCCCTGCAAGTGACCTTAAAGAGGAAGAGCCCTAAATAAATGTAGAGGATCTAGGGGCAGCAAGTGCCTCGATATGTTACCTCATATGGGCCCGCAACAGCACAGGACCCTCAGAGCCAAGTGGAGCGAACCCGATATCAATATGAGTGGCCCCTGAGCAACCAAATGTACCCCGGCATATGGAGGCCCCTGCAACGACGTATAGACGCTCGGGCGAATGCGAAGAAATCGTTACGAATGTGAAAAATGCTCCTCTGTAAAACATGCAGATTCCAAACTGTCTGTTCTAAAATATTGCAATAGACACTTCTGGACCATTTCCGCCAAGCTGTAATGGTAATCGGAACATCATCCACGTAATTGACATGGTTTCTGGTTGGCCTGAGTCATCTGCCACTGAATCAAAAAGCACTGAAACCGTGGCACGGCTTATTATTGAGCATATTATCCCATGACATGCCTGTGCCCGCGTTATTGAGTCTGACAATTGGACTGAATTTTGTAATGCAGCCGTCAAACAAAATTCCGCATTCTTCAACTTTAAACACTTTCGCAGTTTGGTCTATCATGCTCAAGCAAATGGCAAACGTGAGCGATTTAATCGTGTCCAACCCGATATGCTAGGTAAACTTTACAGCCCATCTCAGAGACTGGAACAACCATAATTCCCGCTAATTTTCCGGCATATAAAACAGTGAAAACCTTAGTGCAAAATTAAGACCGCTTTTCGTCATGTATGGTCGCGATCCAGTTCTCCCCATGGACATAATTCTGTCTCCAAAATTCAGATAACGAGGGGATTCGTATGTCCCCACAACGCCGGAAAGTCCTCATCGCTCTTATCGGCAAGCTCGGCATAACGTTGTTTTAAGCCACAAGCAAAACAAAATGTACTACGACCAAAAAGCAAAACCAGTGGTGAAGATTTGAGTCTGCAACATGGCCTATTTAAGGGATCTCTTGGTTGTCTCTTTGGCGGACTTGAGAGAAAGACTGGCTCGAGCGAGGTCTACACTAGCATAACTATAACGCAAGCAGCACGAGATCTGCCACATTTCTATGCCCTGTGTGTGCGTGCGTGCGTGCGTGCGTGCGTGCGTGCGTGCGTGCTTGCGTGCGTGCGCGCGCGCGCGCGCGTGTGTGTGTGTGTGTGTGTGTGTGTGTGTGTGTGTGTGTGTGTGTGTGTGTGCGCGCGCGCGCGCGCGCGCACTCGTAAATATCAACGTATGTGTGTATGCATACACTTTTGTTTCGCGTTCTGTGCAAATCGAGCAAAAGGACTGACCAAAACTGACAAGACATCATATTAGAGTGATAGCAAACAGCAAACGCCGCGGGAACTGCATCTCTACGCATCTACACCGTCAAAATGGTATAAAACTTGAGTAGACCTCTTACTTTGTGAGCCCCTATAGTTTAGGGCTTCCTCCCCATATCTATACACTTCAAATCACAACATACAACACGAACACGCAAACAGCAATAACCTTTTGATTGGACAGCGCTGGTTGTTGTTTTGGCTTAGCAAAAACTAGACAATTCTTTGGCCCTGCAGAAGACATCATTAGCATCACATACTGTGGAAAATACAATCAACACAGTAAATCACAATACTGCACGCCAGTGGCCCAGCACATGTGTCGTTCATCAGTGTCTTGTTCCTTGGCTGAATGATTTATTTGCGATGCTGCTCCAAGAAAAAGTTCAAAAGTTTAGTTCATTGTTTTCCTTAGAAGTGGTTTGTGCTCATGTATGAGCAATGTTTCCATAATGGTGCCCTTCCGTAAGGTGCCCTTTTGAGACGTCGGGACAAAAATATGGTAGCTACGCCATTGCAGGACACGGAACTTGCAGCCACACCCGGCAACGGTCAACGGATGTGTGAAAATGACCACACATCGGAAATCAGTACTTTTCAACGCTTTATGAAATCAATCGGTATGCGTTCAAAGGTGTCCAGGGTCGAGAGTTCACCAGTGCAATTCTTAGATTGGCACTCAAGGCGAACTACCACAAAGAGCACCACGAACGTGGGCACGATGGCCTAATCTCTCTTGCTCGTAATGCTGCAACTGCTAAATACGTTCAGAGAATCAACTGGTCAACCAACTGACTTGCACTGATCAAATGCTCTGGTCAGGAGCTGAAGGGCATTCCGTCCCATTCCGGGTTCCTTAGCGGCTGCTATGCTGGTGGTAACCCCGAGTCCCTATAGAAACCCTCAGAAGGATGCATCACAATCGGTCCTTCCTCGATGCGTCTGGTCCTATGACTGGGACGTCCAGGGGCGGATCGGCGCAGGGGACCTCGCTGCCGCAAACAGACACTTTGCCGGCACAGGAAGTCAAATAACTGGTACCGATACATTTATTCACCCTATCATTCCCTGGTTGAAATTCGCCTTCTCGGCCCCGCCTCACCGGCCCGTAGTCACTTCATGTCCACAGGTCCGAGATCACGGGATGACGACAACGATTGAGTTTGTAACATCTATTACACCTCTGCATCCCGCTTTTGATATATTTTGAACATCACGATATTTTTATTCTTTCATAACAGTCAAAGCAAAAACCGCAACAGCCATCAGGCATCAGCTGATCACATCGACCAGCCGGCTAGCCGTAAATGAGTTGGGAATCAGGCTCGTGCTTGATTTTGATGGTATTTGGCAGCCAACTTGAACGCATTCTGTCATGTTTGTTTTCATGCGACCAAAAGTAGCGAGACGGAACAGGACGGGATCGGACACGATCAGAACAGTACTGGGATTGACCACACGACCACGTTTGACCACGTCTGGTCCCGTCTGCTCCGTGTGTTTCCATCTAGTCCATCTGGGCTGGAATGGTTCCATCCGGTCACGTGCAGTATCATATGGTTCCGCTCGGTTCCATCTGGTTTGTTCTCATCACATTCGGTTCCGTCCTGTCCTGTCCAGTCCTTTAAAGTCCCGCTCAGTCCCGCCGGATTCCATCCGGCTCCTCCAGTCCCATCCCATCGCGCCAGGCCCCATGCGACACTTTCCGGCCCTGTCTCACCTCATCCGATTCTGACACGTTTCTTCCGATCTACCGGTCCGGTCCGTCTGGGTTCGTTACACCCCAACTGGCAACGTTCCGTCCCGTCCAGTAATGTCCGGTTTCTGTCGGTCACACCCGATGGTGTCCGATATCGTGTGATCCCGTCCGGTTTGGTTCCGTCACTTCCGGGCCTGTTCGCTCCCATGCAGCCCCTCCGGTGTCATCCGGTTCCGTCTAGCCCCACGGCGTTTCATCCGATTCCATCCGGTCCCTTCTGATCGTGTCCGGCCCGGTTGTACTGTTTGGCTCTATCCAGTTTCGTCTGATCCTGTCTGTTCCCGTCCTGTGCCGTCCGTTCTAGTGCAATTTAGTGCGGCCCTGTGCGATGCCATTACAAAGTTGCCAGTGATTTTTGGTTTTATGACGTCACCAAACAGCCAGCTGAAAGTGGGATCTCGTATTCTTGTATGATCTTGTATTCCCCATCTTCGCAGAGCAAAGTTTTGAACTAGATGATATGGGTTGTCATTGCCTCTGCTGATACCAATATAATGTGGATTTTGTTCTAAACTTGGGTGTAGGGGAGACTGTAGTAATAACCCTTTTCTCGAAGGTAAACCAGGAGAGTGGGAAGATGGGTGCAGTGACATTTCGGCAACGTGACGAGGCCGGTGGCTGTTCGTTTGAATCAAGGCATGCTGCCAAAGTATCAGCACATATATCCGTTTGCCCGTTTTTTCTGCAAGGAATAAGACTTACTACTGTCTTTTCTACATGCAGGATGTTCCTTGCAAGTTCATTCGACAACTTATGCAATTCTCAGATCATGAAACAGATGATTCTTAACATAGATGATTGGAGCTTCTTTAGAAGTGTAAGACCTGTGTCAGTGATACTAGTATCCAGTACCCTTTTGCTTCCCATGGACATTGATATTTATGGTTGCTGTTTTAGGTTTTAGTGATATATACTGCTATCCTAGCAAATAGTAATATAATGGTCATTTATAGTTGACATTTGTGATATTCCCATGATACTGTGTCAGTAGTGTAGCAATTCAAATGTACATATTCAAAAGCAGTGTGTGTACAGTGATTTTGTTCCCTGCATCATCTGCCCTTCCTTCCAGAATGAGAGGCAGGCAACACCACGTGGCCTCTGCACCGAGTGCGTCAGAAATGTCTGATATTAGCAGCAACCCATGCATGTTGTAATGCATGTCATGTGTCACAATACATTCAAGGGATGGTTTTTCCATTACATGTTCCAATTTTTTGCAGCATGCTGCTTTGGTTATGCATCTAAGTTTTGTTGCAATATGTATGAAGTTTTTAACTGTGTTACCTCCAGCATGAAGATAAACTATGTCATATGTATTGATATCCTTGTTATTTTGCAAATTGTAACCATTCCTCAGCTTCTGTTTCACTGTCATAGGAACCTTAAAAAGAGCCTGCCAGATATGTTGGGGGGGGGGGGCCTTGGAGGCATAAAGGTAAATTTATTTACCTTCATGAGCTGAATGGGAGAATGGGCTGCTATATGACTCAGGCACAGGTGTTGGTCTAGGTGCTTTTGTAAGAGTGCTGGCCCCCCATGTAGAGTTGGCCTCCAATGTTGGCTTGCCCTCCCCCCATGTTTTTGGCAGGAATGCTACAAAAATGGGGGTTAAAGGTGATCATAACACAAAGACTGCCTCCTTTCATCTTTCTGCTTGGTGGTGTCTGGTACCACTCTCATAATAAAAAGTTTTGGCTGCTCTTACTGCAAGATACAAGTAGTAACTGCTGAGCAGATAGATGATGCAATAAACTTCACATACCTAGTGCCATAAGGCACACAATGACTTTTGATGTGTGTAAAACAAAGTGAAAAGCTCTGGAAGAGGGATGGCTTTCAAGTCCTTCATGGCTAACCCCATCCCCATACCCCACAACCAGAATGTAGAGTGCCATTGCTGCCCTAAGGTGGCCTTTAAAGGGGCACCTTCATATGCTGATTGGAATAGATGTGTGTGTCCAGTGCATGCTCCCTGAATCAAACCATGCATGACCCCTATACGGCTGAAATTAAAGACTTCTTCTATATAAAGGTTAAGAACATATATTGTATTGAATCAAAACAACATGGGCCAAATCTGGCAAAAAATGGTGTGGGGGTGGGGGTAGGCTGTCGGGCCTTTGGCTTTGCCCCCCTATCCAATAATTTGCAAAAATTGACACCCCTAGACTCAAGTAATCTGTCCATGGCAATGAGAAAGAAAAGTAAGGATAACTTGGCAAAATAACAATGCTCTATGACAGCATAAGTGTTGTTTTGCATTGTATTTGATGGCCTGCTTGGTTTGATAGGCATCCAGGACATGTTTTGATTAAAAAGGTTTGTTTATGTAAGCTGTGGTCAAAGATACCTGGATAATGGCCTTTCTCCAGTCTGCCCTGGCCAGTAGGGCTTGTGTGTATGTGTGTATGCATGTATGTATTTCATCTAAAATCCATCCATCAAATAATTTTAAAATTTACATTCAGTGCTTGATTTTGAAACAATATAGCAAAGTTGATGGCCGGGTTCCCATGCATTTAAATGCCAAACCAAGAGCATGATTGTTGTCAGAAGTGCTAAAAACACAATAAAGAAGACTAAAAACACTACAAATGCGTAAAATCAAAAATGACGTACAAGCATGAATGTGTACCAGCCATAAGATTATCACTTCTCAGATTTCCGTCCAGCTGCCGGCATCTCTTATTGCACACTTGAAGGCAGACTGCACCAGCGGTCTTGGCAGCTCCAGCCGTCCTGTTGTGATGGAGCGGTTGGCATGATGGGATACCGCGGACCCGGCAGTTAACACGCTGTGCAATAAAGGGGGGGGGGGGGGGCAGTTTGGCACTTTAAAGCATTATTGAAATTTCAGTGATATAAGGGGAAGTTCAAAATCCAACCTGTAGTGGGTCATGTATTTCTGCATCAGTAAGTGCACTGGAAAGGAATACTAAGAAACATTCAGTTTATCAACTTATTTACAAATTCACAGTCCCAAACATCACTCAAAATAGGTATCCTTAGTAGTTTGCTAATGTTGTTTGATCATTTTTGCCAGAAGTGGAAACTGGATGATGAAAATATGCAAAACAATGCTTATTTTCACCGGTAATAACCAATGGGTGTAATTTTCTGCTACATGCTAGTTGTGTTTAGTGCGCATTGTGACCTGTTTAACTAGGAGGCTACTGCTCCAAATGAATGCACTTGCAGCGAACAAGTGGAGACTATCACTTCCTCCTTCCATTCCAGCGCCAGTCTTGCAGTGGCAGCCGAGATGGACAAGATGACGGCACCACGCGGCGCGTTCCTGGACGTGGAGCCGAGCCTGCTGACGGAGCGTCTGTCGGTGATGGGCGCGCCGGCCGAGGAGCCGCTGGACGCGCTGACCATGCCGGCCGAGGCGGCGACCAGCCAGCGGCGAGCCGGCGCGCTCGAGATCCGGCCGCAGCCGGCCGTCTGCTGCAAGACGCGTGATAGCCACGGTGGCAAGGTGTTCGTCAACGTCTGCACCAGCACTGACATCCCGCCGCCCAAGGAGCTGGACGAGCATGAGCTGCGCCAGCTGCTGATGGACGAGGAGCGCGCCGCGGAGTTCCGCGTGCCCATGAGCCTAGGCGAGGCACATAAGGAGCTGGACAAGGCTGGCGGGCCGTGCGTGGCTTACGACGTGGTGATCCATCCTCGCTTTCACGCGCAGGTGGAGGCCAGTCCTGCTCTTCAAGACGTTTTTCGTGACAGTGATGATCGAGGCCATCGAGGGTAAGTTCGGCGTCGAGCTGGACAAGAACCAGTGGACCACGATGCGCAACAAGCTGTACCTGGGCAAGATGCCGCGTCACTGGGTGCGGCGCGGTGACCTGCCTATGGTGCAGGAATGCGCGGGCACCGAGCCGGCGCCGCCTGCCAGCCGCCCCTTGATCTCGGAGCTGGAGACGCGCCGGACGGCGCCGGCGCCGCGCGCGCCACCGTACCAGCTGGAGCAGCGCGCTGACGGCCGCCTGCTAGTGCTGTTCGAGCTGCCGGCGGCGGTGATGGCGCCGGCGCAGCTCAGTCTGGAGGTGGGAGAAGACCGGCTGGTGCTAGCGGCCGATTCCGCCTGCCTTCTGGCCGACGTGTTCCTGCCGGGCCCGCTGGAGCCGGAGAGCGCACGCGCCGCCTTCTGCCCCGCCTCCGGCCGCCTTGCCGTGTTGGTTAGCCGGGCCGTCTGAGCCTGGGCTGACCGGAGCAAAGCTGGCACGCGAGGGGGAGGGGCTGTGGCTTGGACGTGCACCGACCCGTCGCTGCCGACCGCAGGTGGCGCTGTGGCAGACGGCGCCAGGCTGAGGAGGCCGCTGGTGTGCCCCGTTCGTACGTTAGGAGAATGCGTGTCAAAGCTGAGCATGGAGACATCACCACTGAGCACTCAAAAAAAGCGACTAGAAGGTGTCGCCACATCTTGTGCATGTCAGCCCGAGCACTACGTACGCTGGATTGCGTTCGCTCACACTCCATGTAGGTGTAAGTCTTAATGCCAGTAGCGTTGCCTTCCAGTTGCAAACTTTCGAAAGCGTGGAGGTGATATAGCCTGCCGTTGGATTGTGTTGTTTCATTGATGTTATGCACCAGTGAGGCTGCAAATATATTTTTTTAATTGTTTTGTCGTTGCTGAACTATCTCCTGCATACTTTTCTGACGACCCACGTCGCATTTCGTCAGTGCTTTGTGCGGACTTTGTTGTCCTTTGCGATCAACACAGGGCCGCTGCTGTCATGCAGGAATGCAATCCATAACTCGAGCAGCATAAAATACTTCAAATATCGGTTCCGCGGAATTCTGCGAGGAATTCTTAAGCCAGCTGCCCTTTCATGGCATGCTTCGAATCTACCCGTATGCGTAGGATTATTTTTTCAGTCTAAATTTATGCAGGTTATATATATATATATATATATATATATATATATATATATAAACACCAGGTGGGGGTAAAGGAGGGCGTGACGGGCGTCGGACATACAATACTTCAAGGGATTGTTTTACATTAATATGGGATTTTGAACTGAAATGGCCATCTTGAAGACCTTTTTGTTCTGTTCACAATATTACCGAAGGGGATATACACCAGGTGGAACCGTCCCAATAATGCACTTCTCTGCTAGGATTCCCATGTAATGTCACCGGGGGTACAAATTTAGCGCTGGGACGGCCGCACGCGTGGCAACAGGCACGGAGATTGCATGCATTAGAACACACTTAGTTTGTGGAATTATTTGCAAGACCAATGTTGCTAGGAATGGACGAAAGAATCTGCACTAACCCTGCTTTTGAAAATAATTCAAGAACCGAGGCGATAATATGGGACTCAGGAAGCAAGCTATTCGAGGGCGGTTCGTCGCTCTTACGCCGGAGGAGCGCTGGACGTAAGAACACATTTATCACTTAGAAAGCACCAGGGCTCAAGCTGCATCCCGGTTACCAGTCTGTTTTGTTGCACCCCGACTGCCGCCCTCCGGCGAGCTTACCCCTAGCCATGCCGTGGAACTTCTGGTCGCCAGCTGGCATTTGGAGTGGGCCCCGGTTTGGCAGATTACCTAACGGGGCAACATGGTCGCATCGATGTACCCTAGGACGGTGTATCCGAGCGAGTGCGGGCGTATTCCCACCTCCCTGCTAAGATGTCTTTGAGGAACGGTCGGGTGTAGCAGCGCAAGGAGCTTATAAGACGCCCCAAGCTCCTCGACCGGGGCCCCCCGACCCGGGTTTTGCCAGGTACGCTGGCGCGGCTCCATCTAACAGGAGCAGTCAAGTCAATGTACACTGAGGCCTAGTCATTCACCAGAACTAGGCCCTAACGGCTGCTAGTTTTATGGTGTAAAGGGTACCGCTGGTTTGCTCTACCTTTCCCAGAAAATGCTGGATAGGCGTGCTTGATCATATAGCCACATGCAGTCTAAGAACGCATCACAATCCACGTTCAAAAGCTGTTGGCTATTCACATGGAACGCAGCGGATGAATTGACAAGGATAGTTCTCGTTTGACAACAGGCTTTAAACAACTGCCGTCAGTGCGATGTGGTCCTACTAACGCAGAGGCAGGATCAGATGCACCTCAGCGCCAACGCGGGACGCCTTCAATATCGAGCATGGACACCGGCCTTGTATCTGCTTCGTAAGTGGGCTCGCAGAGTCCAAGCCAACTCAGAGCCAGCTGCTCAGCATTGGTGGTCTCGGAGCCACACAGACAGCTTCGCCGTCCAGGGGCCCCCGACAGGCGCGGTGGGTCCCCCTGGCTGGCTTTTGAGAGCCAGGCCTTCGCCCCGTGGTCGTCCCTCGGCCAGTCTTTTGGGTCCTCTAATCGAGCCTTCGATAGTCTGTGTAGAGGGTCCCGAAAGCCACGCAGGGCTAAGAGGAAGGATATGTCGCCTGTACCCCACCCCACCCCCCGCTCCCCACCGGCCTACCATCTAGCTGCGTCCCTGGATAGGTAAGTATGTACGAAACTCAATGCTCGTCAGCGACTTGCCTTCTGATCACATCTCCAATGTGAATAATGGCGTCTGTGTCCCAAAACATTTGCAAATTGATGCCAGTCCGGCTTAACATATGGCTATTCTTGCTGGTGGACTGAGCATCCTATTCTCTGGTACCAATTCCTCACTTCTCACCACATATTGGTAATTTGTTTCACCTATCTGTCGAAACCTCAACTAATATGGTGGTTGAAATTTCTTCTGGACATTTCATTCGTGTATTTGTGGCTTAGATAAGCGTAATGATCAATCAATTCGCTAGATCGGTGGTAAACACGTCTAGAGTGGTGGCAATAATTCAATCCGTAATGAAATGTTTATTTTGGTTGCATTCATATAATCTGGTGGAAGAAGTGAGTCTGGTGAGTGTGTCAAGTGAGTCAAGTCTGGTCAAGAGAAATGTCTATGTTCTTTTATTCGAAATTCATTTTTGGCAGCCGGTTAAAAGGGAGTTACAAAATAAGATAGTCAGGAAAAAGCTCGGAGATTCCACCCGTCATCAGGCTTGCTTCCCTGCTCGAAGCAAGCTGGCTGCCCCATTCGGGGCAAAATCAGTGATATATATATAGGGGTGCATTGCATTAAGAGGGTGTTACTACAGTCCATTCGTACGACCGTACCGTCTCACAGTCAGTATGCAAGTCATACTAATTGAATAGAGCTACTGATTCAAAGACATTTTCAGCAAGACGTGCTTATAGCTAGTTATTGTAACTGACATTATCCGAGCTGGTGTCCGAGATGCACTGCTCCGATGAACGGACACGTATCGTATGATGAACATAGACTGGTTCGGTCTTCCTTTCTAATACTTGGCTGCTTGCCCTAAGGTAAGCCGTTCGGATATGTTCGCGCATTATATTGGTACAGCATGTGGGTGGGTTTAGATTAGTATTAAGGTCACGCGTGCCGGAATAATGCAGGAGACCCACTGCCTTAAGAGGACGTCTCCGCGGTCTGTCCTGCACGATATGCCGTAACATCTCACAGCTGTGTACGAGTCGTATTAATTGAATAAAAGTGTTGGAACGCAACAGACATTCTCGGCACGGTGCGCAATCATCTTAGTATGAATCACATTATCCGTAATGGTGTCTGAGATACACTGCACTAATAAATGTACATGCAATGCTGGTAAAATTATTTTGTGTCGCCGACCGAATTTCTGCGCGCGAAATTGTCCCCGGCAGTGAAATGCGATATTATATGGCAGCAAACAGCAATGACATCCATGCCCAGCAGCATAATCAGAAATCAGCGCATCACTGAATGCCTCTTTAATCACCGCAACTCGCAATATCATGTATACAACCGAAACGTTCATTTATACGATATCATTCAACTTATGCCAGGATATCTGTTGCTGCGAAGAATGCGGGCACATTGGCCATACACAATAGGATAGTTCAATCACAAAAGCAGCGTTTCTTCACCCTCCGGACTTGCCGGACGTTAAAATTCGATCTACGGCTGGACTTGCTATCTTCGACCGCCCAAAAAAGGACGGCAAAGGACCTCGACAGCCAGGGCAGCTGAGTGCATGACAAAATACTAGCCCGCGGCAGGTAGCACTGAGGGATGACCCAAAACATGCCGGTCTCTTCGAGGCCATGTCCCCTTATGGAAACCACGTGTGCGCTTCGAGCCCGACCCCAATCATCATCATACTCTCCACTTTGGGCATGCTCCAAACCTGGCACAACATGCGTTGCCTGATGGGCGCCTTTCGATGCGCTACAACGATTGGTATATACAGGTTTCAACTGAGACTCAAGGCTCCCTGGAAAGGAAAAAGCAATATTTTTGGTTCCATGCCTGGGCTCAGATTTTGGTGCAGGCGACTGCGCAAATGCTGGGCAGGAGGTAGTGGGGGGCTAGCTGGAAGAATGAAGTACCGTCGTCACGGAAAAGAGGACCACAGAACTGTTCGAGGAAAATAAATGTCGGTTGTTTCCTATTCTTGTTACGCTGAGCAAAGCACAAAATACAACAAAGCAACCATTTGCGGCTGCAGCCCACCTTTAGAAGACTGTTACATGTTTTGACGAACCGAAGTTACCAGAAATTCCGAGACAAAACATACAGAAGATCATGCAAGTATACAGAGGGTCTGCGGATTTAAAGAGCTTTGAGCTCCTAATGAGGTCCTCAGGCTCTCGAGTGACCCGAAGGCGGTCCCACAGTGGCCTGAAAAGCCCTTAAGCACTTGTCGTCCCCCAAAACAGGTGTCCAAACGGATCATTTAATTAAAGATATTTGCTTCGACGACCAACTGGGATCGCTGAGAGGCCCGTCGGGTATCAGCAACCAAACGAACACTTCGATGGCCATGAGGGCCTACAAGCGATCAAAAGCTCTCTTTCGTGACCGAGGGCCTGGGCGACTAGTTAAGTCCCTAAGCTGTTAGAGGGGGGGCCCCACCCACAAGATGCTCGTCAGTAGCCAGAAGGGCCCCCTCAGCAGCCAGAAAGGGCACTGCTCAGCTAAAACGGTTTCGTGAGCGACCAGAGATGCCCTGAACACACAGAAGATCGAGAGGTCAGTGCGTCCCGTGAGCTGATGTTGCCGTCGGGGCTTTACGTCGCACGGACCTTCACAGACGTCATGCTAAATGGCGCCACCCGCTTCTGATCCTAGTGGAAAGGGTGGGCACAGAGGAGAATCGAGCCCAGTACCTCACGTTTCCCCGGCGCACATTTTAACCGCAACGCTTAAACAGTCCAAGAGGGCCTGCGTAGTTTCGAGGTTATTTGGTGCGCTGAAGCATGGGCGGAGGAACAGGAGGGGTGTGGGGGGGGGGGGGGCAGGGGGCCATGC